GCAAAGTTGCAAAGATATAAAATAAACCCACACAAATCATTGGCATTTCTATATATTACCAACAAAGCCCAGCAGCAAGAGACAGAAAAAGAAATTCCATTTAAAGTTGCTGTAGACATTATAAAATATTTAGGAGTCTACCTGCCAAAACAAACCCAAGAACTATATGAATACAATTACAAAACACTTTTCACACAAATAAAGTCAGATCTAAATAATTGGAAAAACATCAGTTGCTTATGGGTAGGTCAAGCTAATATAATAAAAATGACAATTCCACCTAATTTAATTTACTTATTCAGTGCCATACCAATCAAACTACTAAAAATTATTTTATGGAGCTAGAAAAATAATAACAAAATTCATCTGGAAGAACAAAAGGACCAGAATATCAAGGGAACTAATGAAAAGAAATGCAAGGGAAGGTGGCCTAGCTGTAACAGATCTTAAATTGTATTATAAAGCATCAATCATCAAAGCTACTTGGTACTCGCTAAGAAATAGAGTGGTAGATCAGTGGAATAGGTTAGGCACACAAGACACAATAGTCAATGACTATAGTAATCTGCTGTTTGATAAACCCAAAGACTCCAGCTTCTGGGATAAGAACCTACTCTTTGAAAAAAACTGCTGGGAAAACTGGAAAAGAGCATGACAGAAACTAGGCCTAGACCAATATCTTACACCATATACTAAAATAAAATCAAAATGGGTACATGATTTAGATATAAAGGCTGATACTATAAGCAAACTGGGAGAGCAAGGAATAGTTTACCTGTCAGATTTATGGAGAACAGAAGAATTTATGACCAAATAAGAGATAGAGAACATTATGAAATGCAAAATGGATATTTTTATTACATTAAATGGAGAAGTTTTTATACAAACAAGGCCAATGCAACCAAGATTAGGAGGGTGGCAGAAAACTGGGAAAGAATTTTTACAACCAGTGTCTCTGATAAGGGCCTCATTTCTAAAATATATAGAGAACTGAGTCAAATTTATAAGAATATAAGTCATTCCCCAACTGATAAATGGTCAAAGGATATGAACAGACAGTTCTCAGATGAAGAAATTAAAGCCATCTATAGTCATATGAAAAAATGCTCTAAAGCATTATTGATTAGAGAAATGCAAATCAAAACAACTCTGAGGTACCACATCACACCTATCAGATTGGCCAACATGACAAAACAGGAAAATAATAAATGTTGGAGAAGTTGTGGGAAAATTGGAACACTAAGGCATTGTTGGTGGAGTTGTGAACTCATCCAACCATTCTGGAGAGCAATTTGGAACTATGCCCAAGGGACTACAAAACTGTGCATACCCTTTGACCCAGCAACACCACTTCTAGGTCTGTATCCCAAAGAGATTATAAAAACAGAAAAAGGACCCACATGTACAAAATTATTTACATAGCAGCTCTTTTTGTGGTGGCAAAGAATTGGAAATTGAGGGGATGCCCATCATCTGTGGAATGACTGAACAAGTTATGGTATATGAATGTAATGGGATACTATTGTGCTATAGGAAATGATGAGCAGGCAAACTTCAAAAAAAACCTGGAAAGACTTACATGAACTGATGCAGAGTGAAATGAGCAGAACCAGGAGAACACTGTACATAGTAACAGCCACACTATGCAATGAGTGACTTTGATAGACTTAGCTCTTCTCAGCAATGCAAGAATCTAAGACAACTCCAAAAGACTCATGATGGAAAATGCTATTCACACTCAGAAAAAGAACTATGGAGTCTGAATGCAGATCAAAGCACATTATTTGATCTCTTTTTTTCTTTTTCTTTTTTGTTTGTTTCTCCTTTCTCATGGTTTCTCCCATTGATTCTAATTCTTCTTTACAACAAGACATGTGAAAATAGGTTCAATATGAATGTATAATTAGAGCCATCTTGAGGTGGAAGGAGGGGAGAGATGGAGAGAAAATTTGGAACTCATAATCTTATGGAAGTGAATGTTGAAAACTAAAAATAAATTAATTAAAAAAAAGAAACTCCAAAAAAAAAAAAGAGATCTGTGTCCAGGCCAAATCCAGACCTCTGTCTACTGCACTGAGATACCTACAAGCCACAGGAATGAAATTAAAACTTTAAGAGTAGTGTCTTTTAAAAAAAAAAAAGGATATGAACATGAAGTTTTTGGAAGAAGAAATCAAAACTGTAATCAATGAAAAAAATGCTCTAAATAATTATTGATTAAAGAAATGCAAATTAAAACAACTCTGAAGTATCACTTCATACCTATCAGGTTGGCTAATATGACAGAAAAGGTAAATGACAAATGTTGGAGGGGATGTGGGAAAATTGGGAGACTAATACAATGTTGGTGGAGTTGTGAACTGTTCCTACCATTCTGTAGAGCAGACCTGCACAACTTGGCTAGTAGGTAGGGGCCAAAATTAAAATAGGCTAAACTCCTTCAGGCTGCAGATAGGTTTTTAGTGGCTTACTTTCCAAGTAAAGGTATAATTAATGATTAAACTATTTTGCAAATAAACCATATAAAAAGGGAAATTTCAATTAATATCAATTAATTACACTTATTACTTAAGATTTTATTTATCATGAAATCTCAGACTAGAGACAGACTGACAATGATTGGTTGCCTCATGTCACGTGACAAATAGGGGAGAGTGCACAGTGACAACCCACTTGATGGGGGACAAGAGTGACTAGTGGAAGGCGGGTTAAGCTGGGCACAGACAAAGCACTCATTACATCTTGACTTTCTTTACATCTTCTACATTTTTCGTGGGCCACCCAAAATCCTTTGGTGGACCACCAGCAGCCTACAGGCCATATATTGTACAGGCCTGCTGTAGAGCAATCTGGAATTATATCCCCCAAATTATAAACTGTGCATACCCTTGGACCCAGCAATACCACCATTAGGTCTGTTTCCCAAGGTGATCAGGGAAAAGGAAAAGAACTTGTATGTTCTAAACTATTCACAGCAGGTCTCTTCGTGGTGGCAAAGAACTGGATGTTGAGGGGATGCCTGTCAACTGGGGAATGACTGAACCAAGCAATATGTGATTGTGACGGAACACTACTGTGCTGTAAGAAACGATGAGCAGGTTGGTTTTAGAAAAACATGGAAAGACTTGCACGAAATAATGAAGAGTGAAATGAGCAGAACCAAGAGAACGTTGTACACTGTAACAGCAATATTGTTTGAAGAGTAACTGTGAATAATTGAGCTGTTCTCGGTAACATCAACGTTCAAATCAACCATGAAGGAATATGTTCTCCACCTCCAGAGAAAGAACTATATATGGAAATATGTACTATATGGTTCCATGTATATATCTGTGTCAAATGTTGGCCTTCTTTAATGTGGCATTAGGAGGGAGGGTGGAGACAATTTAGAACCAAAAATGTAACCAAAAACATTTTTTAAATCATTATGAGAACAGTCTCTATGTGGCATCCTTACTGGAAACATGAGAAGGAAAAAGACAGATCCTGGCCATTGATTCTCTACACTAGACCACATATGCACCAGCCCACAGTCAACTGACAGGTATAGGGAATATAAGTTACTGTCTTTGTGGATTGAAAAAAAGTTCTTTTGACTCAATGGAGCACAGACAAGACTTGGGGACCCTTCTTTTGGGTTAAGATCATAGAAGATTTCATGGCAGACCCAACAGAGATAGCTGTGCAAGGATGCTTTGCGTATTTGAGTATTAATAGAAAGAGAGGCATAACGGAGGAAGATAGATGCTCATCAAAAGGGTTTACCGGCACCATGGAAGATGTTCTGTGGAAAGTCCCAATAAAATAGAGGTCCTGTGACAAGTAGAGAGGGTTTGAGGCTGGGAGTAGACCCTGCACTTGCAGCCCCTGTGAGATAGGGAGACCTAGTCTAAAAAAGAAGAAGAAGAAGAAAGAAAAGAGAGCATTCCACTGCCCAGGCACTCACTCCCTGTGATGGCAGCCCACTCCCTTGGTGAACAGTGCCCACTCCCTTGGTGAATGGCTCTCATTGTTGGGAACATTTCCTTAGAATCTTGAGTTTGTAAGTGTAAGTTTGTAAGTTTGTAAGTGAGCTACAGAGCCCCAGTGCTTCCCAGCATCTTCTCCCTTGTGCTCCTGGTTCTTTCCTCTCAAAACCAGATAAGAACAGACCTCTGATGAGCTGAACACTCGCAGCCCTTCAAACAATCAAAGACTGCTGACGACCGTGTCTTCCTCAAGACTAGGTAGCCCGAGCTCGCAGCCCGCCCTGTAACGCAGTTCCAAGCCCCCCAGCAGCCCAGTCACCTCCCTGGACAGTCTTCACTTATCAGAGGATGCCGAGCCCATTGGATCCACCTCCCTCATTTTACAGATGAGGAAACTGAGGCTCCTTGCAGTGACTTGCCCAAGATCACACAGCTAGTACCTAGTGGAGCCAGGAATCAAACTTATATCCTAAGACTTCAGAGCCAGCACCGTTTCTACTCCATCACTGCTTCGAGGCCTCTCGATCGACTGCTTATGCAGCAGAAACAACGCCTGAGCCTAAGTCTTCTGCCAGCCAGCCTCCCTCCCCCAGTGGAAGCCCTTGAGAACAGAGCCTGAAAAGCCACAGCATGCCTGGCACACAGTAGGTGCCCAATAAATGCTTACTGAAGTGAGTGGCATTGAAAGTGAGGCTCCCCCCAAGGCAGGCACCAGCAGGCCACCACCTCAGTCCTCTGCCCTTCACTTCATGTTACTATGTTGCTGCTTTGGCCATCACCAGAGGGCTGGCAGCGCAGGGCTGGTGAAGGAACCGCCAAGGGAGGCGGGCACCACCTGGGGCTGTGGCAACAAGCAAGCTGATACCCAGGGACGTTCAGCCAAGGAGCTGGGAGGTCACTCTGCAGAGCTCCTTCTCACTTTGTCGGGCTTTGTGGGGGAAGGGGGGAAGGGGGAGGGGTTGAAAAGGTGAGGAGGAGGCTGGAGAGAGGGGTTTCTTCTTTAGAAAAGCCCAGTTAGCATACTCTACTAACCTTCGGCACGCTGAGACTTTGTTGGCTGGGGCTCTTTATCTCTTTGTTCAGAGCCAGCAGACAAACATCCTCAGTGCAAACCTGCATCCTGCCCCCTTGGAGATGGCAGAGGGGCAGCCTCCTATCTCCTGCCCCCTTCGAGATGGCAGAGGGGCAGTCTCCTATCTCCTGCCCCCTTCGAGATGGCAGAGGGGCAGCCTCCTATCTCCTGCTCCCTTGGAGATGGCAGAGGGGCAGCCTTCCTATCTCCTGCTCCCTTGGAGATGGCAGAGGGGCAGCCTCCTATCTCTTGCCCCCTTCGAGATGCGCAGAGAGGCAGCTCCTATCTTCTGCCCCCTTGGAGATGGCAGAGAGGCAGGCCCCCATTTGAGGGCAAGTCAAATTTCCTTTCTTGGGAGTGTGAATCTAAACAAGGGGCGGCCATGTGGCTGCTCCTGATTGCTGGAGGCCCAGGAGAGAGACCCAGCTCTGAGCCAGGAAGGCACCATCCAGGACTCAGTGTATGAAGGAAATTCCTGTCTAAAGAAGTGACTCACGGGAGATGTAGTCCAGCCTCTTCCCAAGCGACAGTGGTGGGGCGCTTTGTTGGGAAGTTACAGGCAGCCTTCCAAAGTGGCCAGATCCCTGCTTCCCTGGCCAGGACTGCCTGACTGACTGTTGCTCGCTGAGATCCTGGACCCCAAGTACCGTGCCCCCCAGCCCACACCCACCTGTAGCTCCCAGGGCTGGGCACCGCCAGGAGCTGGGCACCCCTCAGGGTGAGGGGGGGGGCTGGGGGACAGACCCCAGGCGCAGAAATTACCTTTCTGTTGAGAAATTCCCGGACCAGAGACGCCGCCACCTCCTCCACAAAGAGGTGCTCCATGCCTAGGCCTGCAGTCCCTTGCCGTGCTCTCTCCCTGATCTTGGCGCTATCATTCAGAACAGCTTCAGACAGCTCCTGCCCCCAAAGGCCATTAGAACCCAGGCTCTAGCAGGGATTCAAAACGCCTCAGCAGCAGCAACAGCAGCAGCAGCAGCCACCCAGCAAGCAGCAGCAGCCCTGGGGGAAGTAGCCTATTGTCAGTTGGCTTGGCCTGGGGGAGTTGCCGTGGAGACTGTGGCATCAGAGGCTGAGCCTGGAACTCCTCCTCCCCCTTCTTCCCCCTCCCCCTACCTGGCCCTGGCCCTCAGGGAAGGGAAGGATGGAGGGGAGGGGAGGGGAGAGGAGGAGGGGGAGGAGGCAGAGGAGGGCCAGCACCCTGGCCCTGCCAGACTAAACACAGTCTCCGGGCCTTTAGCTAGTCTGCCCAACCCCTGGAGTCTGTCTCTCTGAGCTGGGACACCTAGCGAAGATCGAGGCGCACTTGAGCTCGCTCCAGACCAGCCTGGTACTGCTTTTCATGTTGGCATTTTAAAGCTACAATGTTTCAGAGAGATCAGCCCTCCTTCCTTCTTCCTGGAAGTTACTTTGTCTGTACTTTGCATTTGTGTAAGAAAGTACTCGCTGTGAACACCTCCCTGCCATGCACTCCCCTACAAGCTCCCTTCAAATGGAGCCTATTTGTATCGAGTCTATCTCCCCAGCGCCAAGCCCAGCACCTGGAACACAAGCCCGGTCTTCATCAATGCTTTGATGGAATTGAATCTTGACATCACCATTCAATCATTTTTAGCTTCAATGCTTACCTAATTTAAGGAAGGCTTGTTTAGGAACCATGAGCCTTAAGATACAATATTTCTTTGTACTGAGAATCTAGAACTTTGATTAACCTAGACCAATCCAGAAAATGAGCAGTTAATCCACATTTTGCCTGAACTTCACTTCAAAGAGAAAGAAACAAGGGAGCAAGCTGGAAGGGTTAAATAAAGGGACAAGTCACTTATGCCCTTAGACCTCAGTTTCTTCCTCTGTAGAAGGAGGGATTTAGATGATCTCCTCTTTTGAGAGAAGAGGAGAGATTCCTGTGACCCTAAGAAGCACCTGGGCTTCAGGACTTTTTTCAAAACAGTAACTCTGGGCTTCCTGGGGCTGGCATTCCTGCAGCCCTGGCTCCTGGGCTTCTATCTGCTGCCACCCACATGATCTAGGGACCCCCTTGAAAGATCCCCAATTTGGGAAGAGAAACATTTTCAGCAAAGATAGGGAAAAAACCACGATAATCTAATTAGCTCTAAGGGAACCCTAACATTTAACCAACCAAAACAGAAGCTCCTACCCCTTCTCTCGACCTGAAGCTGTGTTTCTCCTACTCAGCCTGACCCCAGTGACTCTCTACTGCCTCTAGAATCAAAGGTTTATTGCTCTGGCTACTTTTCAATCCCTTCACAACCTGGCCTAAAGGTTTTCCAGCCTCACTGGGTTTTACTCCCCTTCACCTACCCGCCATCTAGCCAAGCTGTCCTTCTCTCTGGACTCAGACACACCACTTCATCTCTCTCATGTCGCGGCTGCTCCACCTGCCTGGAATGCACTCCCCTTCCTCCTCACTTGTACCCAAGGGTCCTTCCTTTCAGACTGAGCGCCAACCCGTACACTATTCTGTATAAAGGCTTTCCTTACCTCCACGACCCCTAGTACCCTCTCTACCCAACTAGGTACGGTCAGCTCCCCTCTAGCATGCCATATGGATTTCTAAACATCACCACATGAGACAAGATCATGTGATAAAGCCCCACCAGGCTTGTGGGGTAAATGGGGTCAGGCTGAGTGAGACAATGTAAACAGTGTGAGATCTCTCAGATGGACTGAGTGTAACAGTTTTGTAGACTGTTACAAACTCAATGTTGGTGTCGCTAGCCTGACTAGGCCCAAGTTTCAAGTTCCTAGAAAACACATGATCTGTACTGTTACATTAGTATTAGGTAATGGCTAATGCTAAATAAGGATAAAATAGCTAGGATTGGTAGTATTATAATGAGATTTCTTGTTTCTGGGGTAGATTTTCGCGTTTTTGAGTGTAAGGCTGAAATTCCTGTCCAATGGGAATTTACAGCCAGTGGTGGGTGGGTGTCTCTGCATTAGGACTATATAACCTTTGTTCTGACCTTTGTGCCTTGCCTTGCTTCGCTCGGACTGCCGGACGAAGCAGACGCCCGCTTCTCGCGAAAACCTAGAAAATCTCTGAGTGTTATTTTTGGGTAACTGTACCACGCAAGGCCACCACACTGCCAGCCAGGGAGATTTCCTTTATCATCACAGCATCATCTCTGCTGGTGCACAGTCCAGATTCCTTTTTGCTTCTTCTTCAAGAAAAACATATATGCTCTTGTTTCTTTCTATCAAAGGACTTTAGTTAATGCTAAGCTTTTCCTCAAGGCTTAACACTTTCCTCCTGCATGCCTTGCTAGGCATTTTTTTTAAGGCAATTGGGGTTAAGTGACTTGCCCAGGATCACAAAGCTAGTAAGTGTCAAATGTTTGGTATGAGGCTGGATTTGAACTCAAGTCCTCCTGACTTCAGGGCCAGTGCTCTATCCACTGCACCACCTAGCTGCCCCTTTGCTAGGCATTTTTGAACCAGAATGCTTAGACATGTTTGGGGTGTAGAATGCAGGTGGATGTGTGTATATGCATGTGTGTATGTTGTGTGCACACATAACATGTGTACTGTGTATGTGCATATATGTATTCATGTCATTGCATGTGTATGTACACACACCTGCAGCACAGTATATGCACACATGTGTATATTGTGTATATATGTTGTATGTGTGCATTGTTGTATGTGTATGTGCACATATGTGTTGTGTATGCACATAAGCATTATGTACTAATGTGTCATGTATGTGTACATGTATGTATTGTGTGTATATGTGTGTGTTGTGTGTATACATGTGTGTTGCACACATATTTACAAATGGCAAAGAATAGCAGACACAGCCTGCAGCTGTTTTGAGATATATGTATTTTGTGGACTCTTACCTGGCTTCATTTGCCTGGATGCCATTTTCTGCATTCACCTGGTGGGCAGAATTGCACATTCCAACAATCATGTTGGAGCAAAATCACATTTTCAAACAAATGTTACAGCAGAACTAACTATATTTAACTACTTTGTATGTATTTATATTTATTTACCTTATATTTCTTCCATACATACCTGTATGGGTAGAACCATTAAGCCTAACTCACTTAAAAGTAATTATCTCTATTAGATAACCCTTCTTGATTCAACCAATTACTCAGAAATGAGTACGAACAGGGCCTGCACACTTCCTAAAATCAATCAAAGCCGTCACAAGAAAGTCTCGGTCAGCCCCCGCCCCCAAAACAACTGGTATAAAAGGGAAGAACTATTTCAGAACATAGAGAGATTGCCTGGGCCTGGAAGTATTGACGGTGACTAGAAGCCAGAGAAGGTGGGAGATAAGGAGGGCCAATGGCCCTGCAGCATCTTGGAGCAGCAGGTTCCAAGTTAGGCCACCAGTTGTAGCCATCTCTCCAAGGATCAAGGAAAACGGGGTGCCCTTCCCCCACTTCCCCTGCACAGTGCGTGTCTATCCACGGACCCTGCAATACAGCATACTGCTTCAGCCTCAAATGTTTTCGGAAATCCGAATCTTAGCCACAAAGAGGCCAGGAATTACCAAGGGCAGAGGAGCCTGCCACAGAGGCCTTCTATTGCTCCTGGGCCCAAACATGTTGATTAAATTAACAAGGAGTCACAGATGTGTGCTTTAATGGCCTAAAGCTGGATGAAGACTTTGGGATGGGCCGCACACGCACTTCATTTCCCCATTAGAACATGGAATAGGAATTGTTCTGTCCACCCATTCCCCTCCTGCCCCTAGTTCAGTGTCTGGCGCATCACTGGAGCTTCACACATCAGTTTGCTGTTTCACTGGTATTCACTACCCCTCAAGGTAGCCCATTCCTTTCTTAGATAGTTCCAATATTAGGAGATTTGTCGCTATTGAATGGCAGGGGATGGGGGGATGGAGGATGCTACAAGAGCCACAGAAAAGGAAGCAGTTCCTAAGGAATGGCAGGAGAGACAGGAGGAAGAACCCTAGGAAGAGAGTGAGGGACAGACAACAAGCAGAGGGCCCTTTGCTCCTCACAGGAGCTCAATGAAGAGGGTGACCCCCACACCTGCCCCCGCCCACTTGGTTGCAGGAGGAGGCAGGGCTCCAGGCAGAGAATGCAGGGGCATCTTGTCTGCCAGATGCCTCACTAGGAGGAGGTTTGTTGAACACAATGGAAGCCATGGCAGGCAGGACTCATGTAATTCTACGAAGCCAAATGATTAGTGTGCCGAGGTAAGGGGCTGATGACCTTGGCCGACTGGGATGGGCTCACGACCCCAGGGATATCCCTCCATCAGCAGAGGTCTTGAGGAGTCATCCTTCCCAGGCTTCACAGTTCAGTGCTGACACCTCTCTGCCGATTCTGACCGCAGGATTTGGAGGGGGTGGGGACAATGTACTGGGGGCCCCCAAGACCAGGAGCCTATTCCTTGGGCTCTGGGTGAGTTTGGACAGAAAGCCAGATTGTGACCCGGCCTCAGAGGGAACCAGC